CTCTATCCCCAGAGTGGGGCATCCAGGAGGCAGCCTATCAATGACTTTTCATGGATGTTACTATCTCTCTCTCCCTTCCCTTTCCTCCTCTCTGAAATCAATAAAAATGTAAGAAGAAAAAAAGACTAAAGAGATCTAACAACAGTATGAGGCTGCAGTGAGAACACAAACTGGAGAAACCAAGATGGCGGCACAGGTAAACAGATAAAATTGCTGCCTCGCACAACCACTTCAAAAATACAACTAAAAGACAAAACAGACATCACTCAGAATCACAGGAAGGCTGGCTGAGTGGAAATTCTACAACTAGAAGGAAAGAGAAAAGCACACTGCGACTCAGAGGAGGTGTGGAAGTAAAGTGCAGAGGTACAGAGGCACACGTGGAAAGGACTGGCAACTGAGGACATGGTTGTCTTTTTCAATTGGGAGGGAGTCTCAAGCTCCTGACTGCTCTGCACCTTTGCCCTGTTGATTCCCTGAGACCCCGCCTCACCCAAGCTCTGTGCAGAGGCTTTTTGGCCCTTTGCAATCTAAAATTACCTAACAAACTGCAGCTGGGTCAGAGAGACCCAGAACATCCAAAAGAAGGCCCAAGGCCTCACAGCAGCTTGCATTGCTTCACAGCTGGGCCTCATCTGGGCACCTCAAAACCCCAAATAAAGAAGAGGAATCTGCAGATCTCTCCATAGGTCCTGCTGGGTAGCCTCAGGCAGAGGCTAAATTAGCACCTCCTTAGAGATCCAAGAGTCAGTGAACCCAGTGGTCAGAGTGGGACCATCCAGATTACAACTCCTCAGATCCAAAAGGGAAACACTCAGGGGGCAGACTCAGTGAGCACCAAAGCCCCACTGAAGCAAGTCTTGCCCCATAAGGGTGTCCCCAGCGCAGAAGTTCCCCCACCATAGACACAGCTGATTCTCACAGCCAATTGGCCTGGAGGTCAATTCCTCCCACTGATACCAACAACAATCAAGGCTTAACTACAAGACTGTGCACAAAGCCCACAAAGGGGTGCACCAAGAGTGTCCACCTCAGGTAATTGGGGAGGCTGAGCCACTGGGCCCTATAGGATACCTAGCACAGAAAGCCACTCTATCAACACAGGGAAGCAGAAAAAAATGAGGAGACAAAGAAACAGGTCACAAATGACAGAAATGGAGGAAAGCAAACTACTGGATAAAGAGTTCAAAACCACGGTTATAAGGTTTTTCAAGAATTTTCTAGAAACTGCCAATAAATTCAGTGAGACCCTCGATAAGTCTAGTGAGACTCTCGAGGATATGAAAAAGGACCAATTAGAAATTAAGCATACACTGACTGAAATAAAGAATATTATACAGAGATCCATCAACAGACTAGAGGATCTCAAGAATCAAGTCAAAGATTTGAAATATGAAGAAGCAAAAAACACCCAACTGAAAAAGAAAAAAAAAAAGAATCTAAAAATATGAAGATAGTGTAAGGAGCCTCTGGGACAACTTCAAGCATACCAACATCCGAATTATGGGGGTGCCAGAAGAAAAAAGAGAGCAAGATATTGAAAACCTATTTGAAGAAATAATGACAGAAAACTTCCCCTACCTGGTGAAAGAAATAGACTTACAAGTCCAGGAAGCGCAGAGAACCCCAAACAAAAGGAATCCAAAGAGGGCCACACCAAGACACATAATTAAAATAACAAGGTCTAAAAACAAAGAGAGAATCTTAAAAGCAGCAAGAGAAAAACAGTTAGTTACCTACAAGGTAGTACCCATATGATTGTCAGCTGATTTCTCACAGAAACTATGCGGGCCAGAAGGGAGTGGCAAGAAATATTCAAAGTGATGAATAGCAAGAACCTACAACCAAGATTACTTTACCCAGCAAAGCTATCATTCAGAATTGAAGGTCAGATAAAGAGCTTCACAGATAAGAAAAAGCTAAAGGAGTTCATCACCACCAAACCAGTATTATATGAAATGCTGAAAGGTATTCTTTAAGAAGAGGAAGAAGAAGAAAAAGGTAAAGATAAAAATTATGAACAACAAATACATATCTATCAAAAAGTGAATTTAAAAATCAAGTAAATAAAAAATCTGCTGAACAGAATAAACTGGTGAATATAACAGAATCAGGGGCATAGAAAAGAAGTGGACTGACAATTCTCGGGGGGAAAGGGGTATGGGGGGTGTGGGAAGAGACTGGACAAAAATCGTACACCTATGGATGAGGACAGTAGGGGGGTGGTAAGGGCAGAGGGTGGGGTGGGAACCGGGTGGAGGGGAGCTATGGGGGAAAAAAGAGGAACAACTGTAATAGTCTGAACAATAAAGATTTAATTAAAAAAACAAACAAAAAGAAACAAAAAAACCTGGCAAATGGATAAATTATGGTATATCTATTCAATGAAATACTACTTGGTAAGAGGAATGAACTACTGTTTCATGCAACATGTATGAATCTCACATGGATTGTGCTAAATAAAGAAGCTAGATTCAAACAAACAAACAGAGAACACAAACTGTCCTCAACCACCTGGCACAGCTGTTTCCTGCATCTCCCCTTTCTCTGCGGAGACCTTTGAGTGGCACTGCTTGTCTCCAGGCCACAGCCCCCGCCCCCACCTTTATTCCCCTCAGACAGAGCCCTCCCTCAGAGCCTTCATCCTTGCCTATGGGTCCGTAAACACTGGTGAAAGCCAAAGTCAACCGTTCCCCACTAGAAGAGGCCGTCCTTCAGCTGCACCCTGAGCTTTGTTCACACTAGATGGGGTGGTTCTGGGGGACTGAGAGAGACGCTTCTCTGGTATAAACTCAGCCACCTTTAAATTACTAAGATACAAAGTGAAGGCTCTGGGAGACTCTTTCTCTGAGCACAACACAAACAACTGAACAACTTGAGAACAAATTGGAACACAGTCAATTACCTGCAAATCTACTTTCCTCCTTTAAAGCGAAAGTTTACTGTTGAAATATTTCCTCTTTGAAATAGGACACAGAAAAGAATAAAATGTGTCTGCAATACATACTTATTAATATGCCCAAGAAGCAAGTGTGACATAATTCTTATTTCTATGATTTAAACATGAAATTCTGAAACTTTGGGGAAATTTTTAAAAAACTGGGAAAAGTATAACACTGTCAACAGCATTTACTCATTATTTATTCAGTGAATACTTATTGACCTCTACTATACTCCAAGTGTCAGGGCATCCAACTCCTTCATTCTACTGATAAAAGAAACCAAGACCCAGTGCAGGTCAGTGCCTCGCTGAGGATAAACAAGCTAATTCTGGCCTGGGTAGCATGGTTGGGTGAGAATTCAAATAGTTGAGGCTCTTTGCACTCACCCCTACCTGTTTCCAACCTGTGAAGCCAATAAACCTGAGGACAGGTCTTTAAAAGATCAGGTACCTCTGTGGGGTTGGGTGGCCCTTTATGGCATCATTACCAGTAAGCTAAGTGCTTCAGTGCAGTGCTATGGCCTCTCTAGGTGCCCGAGGAGTAGCTGTTGAATGATTAACTGCAAAGCAGCAGAAGGAAAAATGCTGCAGCTAGAAACTTGCAGTTGGCACTTTCCTTTGGAACACGTTGACCTGTTTGTAAAGTACATGAACTGCCAGTTCTCAATTTTTTCTGACATCGGTGTTCCTTACTTGGGGATTTTTAAGATGTTTGGAAGCTCTGAGGTCTAAATCCTTGTATATGCTTTCAGTATTCTCTCCTACATGGTGAGAAAGAGTGAGCAGATTCCAAAGCGAAGCTCATGGAAGAAACCCCAGACATGCAAGGGTGGAACATGCCCCTCTTCAGGAGGAACCCCTTCCAGGTGACACAGGCAGACATGTTGCAAGGAAGCTCAAGACAGGCTAGGTGCACAAAGCAAGCTGCTGACCTCTTTTTCCCTCTCTGATCTTCTAGGGTTCTTCCTAGCCTTTCTTCTCTGGTTTTTCTTATTTTTTTCTTCCTTCATGCCTTTTACCATGGCCACAGGGTCCTGGACTATTTCTGGGGTGGGGGCTGTGTGATTGCTCATTGACCAATCAGAGATGGCGTTAGAGCTCCAATGAGAGTTGATAGGATTGACGAGAGGCAAGAGGGAATTTGCTCCTGCGGTTGCATATTCTAAGGAACTGGTTTCCACAGGTTCAAATTCATAATAATCCCACTCCAGGCCACTGGAAGACATTCTTCAACTAATTCTCAGTCTTTACCATGACATAAAGAACAGTATCTGCAGAAGATGAAGTCAGGGGTAAATGCTTCATAACATTAACATTCTCTGTTTCTATCCACCATCCAAGATAATGTCTTGGGTACAGTCAGCTTCTGAAATTACTTTTTACAATAATGAATTTTCCAGCTTCTTTAAAGAGCACCCATAAAGGGTTTTCTTCCTGAAATTCTTGCATAAGTTTCAAGACTGATCATTAACAAGCACGGCAGACACACAGAAGACAGACATGAGCCACATCTGGCAAATGCATTACTTCAGAACTAGTGAAGGTCCATTCCACCTTCTCCATCCTCACCTGTTTTTACACTGTTTTATTGTTGTGTTCTTATTTTGTTTTATATTAAGTTATCTGAGAGAAGCAATGTGTGGACTGTCCTGTTTAAGTGAAAAAGATGAAAGAAAATAAATACTAATTCAAAAAAGAGAGGGTGTTCCTGTTAAAAATAGCGCTGGCTTTTCCTTCGGCTAACATAGCTATATTGACACGGCTGCCCTTGGTTACCTTGTGAGAACTCCTGCCTGTTTGAGTTCTTATCTTGTCTGATATAAATAGCAGAAGCTAGGGAGTTAGCCTGGCTTTTGCTGCATTAGACCTCAGACAAGAGTGCTGGGTTGGGATAGGTTAGCATGCCTGGCATTGCAGCCTTGCCATCATGACAAGCAAGGGCTTTAATTATCTAAAGAGGAGACCAGATGCACCCCAAGACGTGTGCACCAGCAACTCCAAGGCCTGCCTTTTCTGTGGTCAGAATCTCTTCTCTCTCCTGGTATTTTTGCTGTCATCTAAGGGTATGATGTAATCATGAATGTAGTGATGTCTACAGTATGGGAAAATAAAAATAGCATATGGCCCAAGGTAGATATCAACAGCTTAAAACTAAATCAGTGTCTTCTGAAAATAATGTTCTTGATGACTCAACAGATTCCAAATATAACCAGATATTTATGAATGACACTGAACAGCCTTCTGCCCATCATAAAACAATGACATATTTAGTTATCTCTGTTTGCCAAATTTTAGAACATTACACAGAGGCCCAAAGAAAACTAGAAGCCCTTTGGTAATGCACACCCTAGCATGCCTGAGGATCTCAAATTTGCTAATACTCTGTAACCACAGTTATTAAAGGTGAATCTAGAAGAGGTTATAAGCGCAAACTCTCCAAGATGCTGTGTTCCTTACAGAAGGGCTTATTCCTTAGAGTCCTACTACACAAACTAGGGTTAGAAACAGAGTTAGAAACAGTTTCCAGTCACATTATCATAGGACTTTTTCCTAATAGTTAACTGGAGAACAATTTACATAATCTTTTCTATATCCTCTTCTTAGAGAAGCCACCTTTCTCAAAGACCCAATAGGGCACCCCAGGTACTACGTGACCACCCCACCACTGCTGATTGGCTCAGAAATGGATACGTGATCCCAAAGAAGCCAGCTGGAGTCTCTCTAGATAATCTGAGTGCAGAGACTCAGAGGCTGAGTCTCAATAATGGTACAGCACCAGAGTGAGCTCCATCTGCAGACCTCCTTTTTCTTGGGTTCCATGAGACAAGTTCTGCTTCTTTGAATAGGTTGTTTTAAACTGAATGTACACTGATTAAGAGAAATCAAAGTGAGAAAAGGAATAAAGTAAGTTTTTAAGCCCCACCTTTTCTCCAATGGTAAGCTTGATCAATACTCACTTGTGTGTGTAAGAGTGTGTGTGTGTGTGTGTGTGTGTGTGGTGCTCCTTCATACTGAGACAGGACACAGACAAAATGCCCTCTAAACTCTGCACTTGAATGATGCTTGATAGGAAATGAACCATGATGGGAATTTAGCACACATTCCCAAACTCTAATTTGCCATTGAGAATAGGTCCCAGAATAGGTCTTCAAGAGTAAGCTCTTCCCACCATGGGGACCAAGACGTTGATTAAAGGGGCTGAAGAGCACCTACTCCCCTCCCACCTCACAGCAGGTTCCATGCTGTACTATGGATTTCTAGGCAGACAAGCTCCTCTGACAACCCACCCCCATAGAATGGTGGCTTCTACTCACATCGTCCTGAACATCGAGGTCGCAGCCAGCCTTCAGCAAGATCTGGACCACAGCAAGATGACCTTTATTGGCAGCGAGATGCAGGGGGGTCCGGCCATGCTGTTGATGCAAAGCAAACACCAATTTCAAAACAGGACATCAAAATCACTCCCCTGGGACAGGCTGCACAGTGGCATTTCATCCCTTCCCCTATAGTTTGATAGAAGATTCTTATGGATTTATCCAGAATTCAAGTTTGTCTCAGTTAACCTTGGCTATTGGCACTGTAACCAATGAACAAAACAGGCTCAAAATGTGAATATTTCCCTTAGTGCATAATTTCTACTCCCACTCATTAAAACAAGCAGGAAATTAGAGGTTTCCTATTTTCTTTTGTTTTCCCACAGGTGCTGATACTCAGGGGCAATGAAGTGGCCACAATGCACTTGATGGGGTGAGATGGGAGAAGAGCAAAAGGTCAAGCTTATCAGCCCTGGGAAAATCTGGTTAGTAATTACTCAGAATTCAAACTGCTGGCCCAACTGATTAGAACTGATTCTCACCCCCGCCTCCCCCCCTTTTTTTTACAGAGAGGAAGGGAGAGGGATAGAGAGTTAGAAACATCAATGAGAGAGAAACATCGATCAGCTGCCTCCTGCACACCCCTATTGGGGATGTGCCTGCAACCAAGGTACATGCCCTTGACCGGAATCGAACCTGGGACCCTTAAGTCCACAGGCCGATCGATGAGAGAGAAACACCGATCAGTTGCCTCCTGCACACCTCCTTCTGGGGATGTGCCCACAACCAAGGTACACGCCCTTGACCGGAATCAAACCCGGGACCCTTCAGTCCGCAGGCCGACGCTCTATCCACTGAGCAAAACCGGCCAGGGCCAGCTCCAGTTCTTTTATTCATTGTTCATTGTTTCCTACTCACGGACACACAGGCTGTTTTTAGTAGTTTGCAGAACACCATTGTGTGGACGTCTCCTTACGCACCTGAGAAGGCTTCTTAGCCCTATTGTTGGGTCATAGAGATGACCATTCCCTTTGCCTGCCTTAAGCATGCAGCTCCTCATATATGACATTGAGGGTAACACCCAGAATAACCCTCTTTGGTATAAAACAAATTCTGAGATCTGACTGCGCCAAACCCCAAATTCTCTTAATTCTAAAGGAGACATTATGTCCCATTTGCTTCCTCCCTCAAGTTCACTGTGAAGATAGCGCCCCCCGCCCTCAATTTCAAGCATCATTTCACCCCGGCCCCCAGCCATGCAGAAACACCCTGGAGGATTCAGATCTCATGGGGCCTTAAGTCCTTTTCAGCACCTCAATAAGACTCCCCAAAGACCGTTACTGATATTCTAGCAGGATAAACCCATTTATGATTTCAATAAAGTGCCAGTTTGCCATGGGCAACTAGCCATGGAGGAAAACAGATAGCAAACAATAAAGGATCTTCATTTCTACCCATGAAATGCAATCAAAACGCTAGAAAGATGATGGAAAGAGGTCGGAGCTCACTTTAAAATTAGAATTCTTAATTAAGAAAAAGTTATTCCCAAGAAAGTGGGATATAAAAAGCCTTTATAAAAAAGCAATGTCTGAGATGAAGAGTGACTGTCCTTGGCTGATGACGGTGCTCAGCGCCTGCTACTTAACCTTGATTCTTTGAATGAAATGTCCACAGCTGATCAGATGGAGCAAAATGACTGGGTGCCGCTCACTGGCCCTGTGCCAGGCTCCACCTGTCATTGTGTGTCCTTGTCAAGGATATGAGGCATTCTGCAACACAGGGAAGTCGTTACGTGTGAGGAGAGACGTGTTAGGAAGGCTGACAGAATGATGGGACAAGAGTGTGTTTGAGCAACTGAAAAAATACAGACCATGGGGGCAGGGGAAGCTGCGGGGAGAAAGGATGGAAAATAGGCACCAGGCCGAGGGGCCACTGGGTGTCGGAGGAGCCCTGAGGGACATCCTCGTCAGGAATCAGATATTACTGGTGGGAGGCAAGGCCCAAGAAGGTGAAAATGTTGCCCAAGTAAACACAGATAATCAGAAGTCAGAAGAAGGAATACTGCTGTTCACACCAGGTCGCACCGGGCGGGCACTTTAGAAACTCTAAGTTGTTGACAAAGACCCTCAGCTGGAGATACCTTCCTCATCTGGAGAGAGTAAAGGCCGAGACATTGTAGCCCCAGAAGTCTAACTCAAATCCCAGCTCTGACTGACACGCCTGGGTGCTTCTGTGCACCGCACTCTCCCAAGCCTGTCTCCTCACCTGTGAACTAGAAGGGGCCTCCACTCCCCACCCACAGGACTGAATAGGATAAATGAGGTAACACCCAACACCTAACACGGATTCCTTCCCCTCCAGCTGCCCTCGGCCCTAGCCCTGAAGCATCCAACTGCTCCCTCTCCTCCTTGACACCCCAAAGCCTGGCCTTAGCCAATGCCCCGGGGCAGAGTTGGATGTCTGTCAGTCACTCGGACAGCCTGAGCCCCCCCCCCACCCCCCCGCAGGAGGGTGGAGGTCCTACCAGCCGGTGCTGATCCACTCGCCCACTTCCATTTCTGAAGCACAGTCCACAGTTCCTAGTCTTTATGTACCTGCGAGGAAAGACTCCTTTGGCGGGAATGTCCTCCCAACAATGCCTTCTCCGATTCTCCAAGAAGAAATGTTTCTGGCCTTCCCTGCTTTACACCCTCAGCCCTTCAGGTCCCTTTTAGGAAATGGCCACATTCTGTTTTGAGTGTCACCCTCGGTGCTGACTTCTTCCAACTAGGTTGGGATCTCCCTGAGGGTGGACCGTGCCTTCCCTAAATGATGAAGCAAGTTGACTCTGGGGTTGGGGAGCAGGGGGGCATATCCAGTGTTCCTCAACCACAGGGCAGGCTGGGGCTGCCAATCCCATAGGGATTGGAGCAATCCCATAGTTCCAGGCTTGACCTCAGAGGAATGGAGAGCTTGTGATGGCTGTGGACTGAGTTCTGGGATGTCAGAGGAGACAGACATCCGGGGGGCTTCACAAGCATTTAAGCAGCTGCACGTGACACAGGGGCTTCTCTGAGGAGGCTGAGTATACCCCTCATGTGTCTGGTGCCTTTCTGGTATCAACATCACAGCAGCCAGGGCAGCAGTTTCTACTGAACCAAAAGCTGTGCACTCCTGTCCCTAGGGCCTTTCTCCCACAAGACCAACCCCCTTAGACACACACATGCATATTCACACACACACACACAGACACACACACCATCACCACCACCCAAAGAAGGACAGTGAGAGAGGAGCAGAAATGTACTAGGTTTTCCAGAACATTCTGTAGTGAAAAAACAGCAAAAGTAGCCCTGACTTGTTTGGCTCAGCGGATAGAGCGTCGGCCTGCGGACTGAAGGGTCCCAGGTTCGATTCTGGTCAAGGGCATGTACCTTGGTTGCGGGCACATCCCCAGTTGGGGTTGTGTAGGAGGCAGCTGATCGATGTTTCTCTCTCATCGATGTTTCTAACTCTCTATCTCTCTCCCTTCCTCTCTGTAAAAAATCAATAAAATATATTAAAAAAAAAAAAAAGAAAAAATAGCAAAAGTGGAGCTGTTAAAGAGAGCAGCTGCTCTCACCCAGCACACAGATGCACTCCAAGGTCATACCTGACAACGGGGAGGGCTGGAATGCTCTCTAAGTGTGAGGAAGCAGATAAAAACTGATTGTTAGTGCGGACTTGGAATGACAGACTCAAGGATGCAACTGCTCTCACCTCCAGGCCCCTAGCACTGGCCAGTGGAAGAAGTGGGAACAGGAGAAAAGACTAAGTACTATGCACGAGAAGAAGATGTTTTAGACACATCAGTTTGTTCTGGGTCCTATCCCAGTTTTCCTCAAAGACCAGTTCTACCCAACTGAATGCAGGCCCTGGTGGGCCCAGGGAGAACAATAATAATGAGGACAAGAGCAAGGGACAGAAGTAGCTAACATTTATGAGGCACACAGTAGGCCCTATCCTAAGAATTTTACATGTACTTGCCCAGTCAATCCTCCCAATGACCTGTGTGGTAGGCAATATCGTTAAACCCATTTTACAAACGAGAAAACTGAGGCATGGAGAGACCCTTGCTTGTTCTATGTCGCACAACAGGTCATTAGAGTCTGGACTCACCCCTTAGCTGTCTGATCCAGGCCCTCATGCTGACCCCATTCTGCTGCTGTGGGGGTAAGGCTGTCCCCTGGCAGAGGGGCTTTGTGTCTCACCCTCAGGGAGCCCCCAAGACTCCCAGATGCTGACCTCGGAAGGTGCGTGGAAATAACCTGCTTTCCTTAAAATCTCAAGGACAGAGTGAGATTTTCCATTCTCACTGTACATGAGAATCACCTAGGGAGGCTAGTCCATTTGTCTGTCTATCAGCCTCTGCTTTTCCCTGAGTCCCTTCTCCAGAGATTCTGGCTCAACTCCCTACGGTGGGACTCAGGCATCATTTGTCATACAACCTCCCCAGGGGATTCTAATGAGTGACCCGGGCTGAGAGCCGGGCCAGGCTAACTCTCCCCGGAGCAGCTACAGGCCCTTGGGCGAAACCCGCTGCGTTGGGCCTGTCCAAGCAAGAGCCATTCCTCTTGTTACATTCTTCATGATGCTCCATGCACACCTGCCAGCACAAAATACTAAGACCCCACATCGCCACAACCCAGGGCTTCCTGGATCTTAAAAGAATATATAAGCAATAAAGTGACATTCCTAAAAATTTGAAAGGTAAAAGCAAGTCGTAACACTACCACCCAATACAACTATTACCATTTTATCCACACTTTTTCAGTGCACCTTTTCTCTTTATGTGTTTGTACAGCTATAGTCACATAAAACTGCCTTGCTTTTGCATTAACATTATGTCTTAAACCAGTGGCTCTCAAACTTTCTTGGGCAGCATAATCTCTTGGAGGGCTTGTTCAAAGACATATCTGGGGCCCTTGGAGTTTCAGACTCAGTAGGCCTGTGGTGCAGACAGAATTTGCATTTCTAACAAGTTTCTAGGAAAAGCGGATGCTGCTGGTATGGGACCACATTTTGAGAACAACTGACATAAATCACTGCTTTTCAACCATGTTGCACATTAGTCACCTGAA